TCTCTGTTCAAGTCTATGGATTTTGCTGTGTCAGTTTGTGACAGGTTACTCCTTAATTGGTGTATCTTTTGATGTAAACATTCCAAAACACCTCAGAGAGGGTCATCCTGTATTTAATCACTTGTCTTTAGGGTGCCAGCCTTTACCTCAGGGTTGTCAATTTGCCTTTCCTCAGTCATGGATGGGCACTGATGGTTCTCTGGCATCGATAAGTCTCCTTAGGCATCTTTGCCCCTCCTTTTTTGACCATCTGGTTAACAATGGCCTTCACACCTTATATTTTCCTGATGCATGCATTCCTCATTCACACAGTCTCTCACAGAGAAGACAGAAATTAAACTTCACTACATCTTGTGGTCAAAACAGTTTATATTATGGCTCAGGCCTTTAACATTCCCTTAATCTAATTAACACAGACACAATATAAGATCCTGTCTTTTACTCACTAAATCTTAAACTAAAGATATGACTAGAGGGAAGTTTATAATGCATATAGGAAACAAGATCCCAGTCTCAGACGGTCATTCCTTTCTGTTATTCAAAAAGGGTGGCTGGCAGAATTAATTCAAAGTTTACATCAATTTTTATAGTACAATTATAAAATCCTGTCCTTACAAAATCCCCATTTAAATTTACTGATACTACCACCAAATCATAACAAATTTATATAAAATGGATGCAGATCTCATAAACTGCCACGTTTATTCCATAATACGATTATGGTAGCCACATTTCTGGTTACCTCAATATCGACATTGAAGTAGTAAGTAAACTCAGCTGCCAAAGCCAAAGTAACTTTCAGGGGGTAGAAAACAGTAAGTTGCAGGAGATGTCCGACAACTTTATTATTGCAATGGATCACATTAATGAAGACATAAAGTTACAAACAGTTGTAATAAAAAAGGCAGTGCTAACAATGTAAAGTGGTCCATTATATGTTCAGTATGACAACTTTATTACTGCAGTGGACCAGTATTGCAATTACAAATGGGATATATATTACACATACTGTAGCTTCTTTTGAGACAAAAGAGCACAACAGGCCAACATATTACTGTAAGAACATATAAGACACAATAATTACTTTGAACAGTTACAAAAAAAAAGAAAGTGAGCCATCATAATCTGGGAATCTGGTACAACTTTTTATTTTTTAAAAAATGAAACAGAAACAGTAACAGGAAAGAAGGAAAACATGATTTCCTCCAATTTAGTTTTTATTACAGACTAATGGAGGACATCTACTTCCACAAAACTACTCTACATAGATCAAGATAATATAATAAGGTAATAAAAATCTATTCAATTAGTAGTAAGATTTAATTTAAAATGGCTTATGTATTCACAAATCTTTAGTGTTAGCAAAAATGTACAGCTATGCGAATTTCAACAACAAATGTTAATCGAATAATAATTATTGTACCTCTTTTGGTTCACTCACGGAAAATATTCTCTAGTTTGATGTTTTTGTCTATGTATGGGTGTGTTAATTTGAGATCGCCATAGAGCCTAATCAAGGTTAAAAATGTCAACAAGTTACAAACTACAAATACAGAAATCAATTGGATTTCATGGCATCAGAATGTGAAACATTAGACAAACAAAGAAAGGCTAGGCATGCAGTTTTTGATCAGATGGTCCCAAATGAGACTGAACACTTGTAACTTATGGCAGAATCTGGCCACTGTTGGAAGAGATGCTCTTAGTAGGAGAGGTGAGTTTCTCCCTGGTTTTATTATTTACTCAGTACCAATCAACCAGGGAGCTGACTGGTGCTCATCTTATTGTGAATTGTGGATTTTTGCAAAGAAAGTCTTTCTCTAGAATACTGTCTCTTCTTATAATTTACTAACAGGGTACAATCTATGGAATCATCACTTTGTTCACTAGATGTGGCATCTCTTACCTCTACCAGTATTCTAATTTAGCTATGGTCTGTAGAGTGCAATTAACACTCAAGATAGTGGGAGACTGCAGTGAGGTTCCATTAATCCAGAAAAGAAATCAGAATCAGAATACAGTCAACGTCTGTGGAGGTACAAACAACTTTCAAAGGCAAGAATATTGTTTAAAACAGTTTACAACAGAGGCAGAATTAAAATCAAGTGTTCAAATAACTTACAGTAGATGGATATAGCACCAATAGTTGGCCTTGAGTGATGCTAACCAAATGCTGCTTTCAGTTTTACTGGTATAAATCCAGAGTAACTCTACTGACTTTACTATTAGTTTTACACCGGTATTAGTGAGGCCAGAATTTGACCCTATGTGTTTGTACGGTGCCTAGCAGACAGAAGCTCCGCAATACAAATAATAATAATATTCTTCTATATGAGATAGATTAATAATTTGACTCCATACATCTGAACAAGTGGGTTTTTTACCCATGAAAGTTTATGCCCAAATAAATCTGTTAATCTTTAAGGTGCCACTGGGCACTACTCATTGTTTTTGTGGATACAGACTAACACGGCTACCCCCTGATACTTAATAATTTGTGTTACTAAATTTTGACTACCACTTGCAAAGAACTGTCATAGAAACAAAACCAACCAAATCTACATTTAAACAAGCATCATGACCCAATGCCACGTTGTCATGTGTCCTACCAAACATTCAGGTTCCTTAAATGTCCTGCCCTCGAGGCTTGCATGATGCAAATGCATTCATCATGATCAGTATTTTCCAGTGCACAAAAACTATGTAGGCAAGTTCTTCATTACTTCATAATGGTCCCCACTCCTTTTTTATTTATCTTGTAAAAAGATGAACTATACAAGCTGTTCAGTAACATAGCCAATTTAGAATAGTGGTTAATTTTGTCTTCCTTTTCATTTATTAACAGGCCTACTTTCTTGTTAGTAATTCTTTCTCCTTATTCTCTTAAGCAAGCAGTAACTCATACTTTTTTTTGCCCTTATCTTTTCCCTGCAAGCCTTATAAAGAGATATATAGCAGAAATAAGAACTTTAATATCAGAAATGAATTAGCTAACAGGGTATTTACCTGAATAAGGTTTCTTGCAATTTTACTCTTGGGAAATCTTGGAAGCTAAAGTCGAGTTATTCTTGTGGTCAGACCCAATATTTTAAGCGTGTTTTATTATGTTGTTGACTTTTGTAATAAAGGATAATACTGTTGCTTGGTGACTACAGCAGCCTTCCAAAGTTTGTGGATTATTTTGTCATAATAATAATAATATAGCTGCAGGCTTTTTAAACCAACTTGGGTGTACTCACAATTTATGCATGCCTACACACTTGACCTTGCCATATGTAAGACCCAGACATCTCATCTTCCTTCTTTCTGATGAATTGTCTAGCTATATGAGGCCAAATACATTCCTGGTACAATTTCATTGAATTTGACCCATGATGTATTCCAGAAGACCAATGATATTGAGTGGAAAAGTATTTCTGCAATACCTTTTTAACACCCCAGTTCTGAGAGCAACAGTTGGTTTCTCTTGTTGTTCATAAGTAATAACTGGTTGCTTGTATGCAATTATTCAGAACACAATCAGTGTCTTGTATTGACTGTGTCTGAGGTGCTAACGTCAGGTGAGCCTGGGGCTTTAAAATAATTCAAGCTGCTATAGTAACATAACACTTTTAAACTATTTGTTGCAGGTGTTTTTTAAGCAGTACATTTTGAGCACAGTTGGCGGGATTATGAAAATATGTAATATACATTGTGGTTGTTTTTCTTTTAAAAAAGATAAACTTTATAAAGTCAGCTTCAATAAATGATTTGCCACAATAGCAGAAGATCATGGAAACTAGTTAAAGCCCATCACAGAGACACTCCCCCTCTGCTAGAAGATACACTCATACAAGAGCAGAATGACACTTAGAAGCTGATGCATGTATCTTATGATCATACATAGAAAGAGCATACTTTTTTCAAAGAGCACTGGAGCCTGATTTATTGTGTTCAGTCTTAATCACTGACAAACTCTAGTTAATTGTCAGGCCTCCCAAAAGTATGACACTAGCTTAAAAATCATAAGATTTTAAAAATAACTTGTGGGTTCTTTTTATTTGCCTTCTGGTTTGTGAGCCTTTAGGGTTCCCCCTTTCAAGCTTTTCTCTGCAACCATGAAGGCTAAAGTCCTATTTTTTTTTAAATGACACCTGATATTCTCCTGGTAACCACAACTCCTGGTGTTGCAGTTTTCAGACAAACATCCACTATTATGAGAGGTGGCAACAACAGCCCTACCTCAATACAAATAATCATTGAAACATAATGAAATAAACAACACACATTCACATCTAAGATGGGGGTGGCCTACTCTGTGCATTGCTAAGAGTCATCCAAGTGGCACAGGTGCTTTCCTGGCTAGCAACGGTGCCTGTCCTGAGTTAGGGTGAGTGCCTACACCTGGTCCTGGCCGCAGAGCAGGAGTCCCCATGCCTGGGACATTAGGCATCACCTCGAGGCCGGCTCCCCCTCTCCTGTGCCAGGGCAACAGCTCTAACTCACAGAACTTGGGTGACAGGTTTCAGAGGAACAGCCGTGTTAGTCTGTATTCACAAAAAGAAAAGGAGTACTTGTGGCACCTTAGAGACTAATTAATGCTCAAATAAATTGGTTAGTCTCTAAGGTGCCACAAGTACTCCTTTCCTTTTTGAGAACTTGGGTGAGACCCGAGGCAGCCCCACCCCAGGGTGGGTCAGAACTGGCACCCGGGCACAGAACAAGGAGGGGTCCAGCTCACACCTCAGCCTGGTGCAAGTCGGGGGGGTGGAGGGGGGCAGCCAGCCGCCTGGACTGAGCGGGCGGCAGCTGAACCCCGCCCACAGCCTAGCAGCACATGGGCTCTGCCGGGGGGAGTGGGGGCTGGTGGCGGTAACAGCACTGACTGCACTGGAGAGAGGAGGGAGGGAGCTGGGAACGGCGAGGGGGCGGGGCCATTCGCTTAGCCAAACAGCTCCTTCCCCTCCCTCGCGGTCGGGAGCGCCTTCCGGGTGGGATTGTGAAATTGTGGCCGCGTGATTAGTCACGAGCTCAGGCGCGCGCGTCCCGGATGATGTATGAGTGCAGCCGGCGCGCGGCGATGGGGTGCGGCGCGCCTCACGTCTTTCGCCTCCTCCTCCTCCTCTGGCTGCTGCCGCCGCCGCCTGTGTCCGTGTCCGTGTCCGGGGTGGCGGGCGTGAGTCCAGCGGCGCTGCCGCTAGTCGTCAACACCTGGGCGTTTAGGAAAGCAACGGAAACAGGTGTCGCTGGCTCCGGGCTTTGCCTCGTGCTGCCCCGGCTGGGCTGGCCGGCTCGTGCGGGCGGGGGGCTGGGGTTGCTGTTGGGGGGCGCGTGTTCTCCTTCGCACCTGTGCCCAGCGCAGGGAGCGGTGCCGCCCAGGGCACTCCCCGCAGCGCCTGGATTGCAGTGGGGTGGGGTGGCTGTGACTCAGGTCTTGCACTGCCCTCCTTGATCGCGTGGGGGAGGCTGGGAAGCAGGGAGAGCTGCTGTTCTTGGGGGTATTGCTGGTGCAGCTATTCAGAAATGCTGATTTAGCTAAACGGCTACAATTGCTGTGGATAGACGACCCCAAAGAAGTTCCTCAGCCAACCTCTCTACGCTTTTCAGAGTAGCAGCCGTGTTAGTCTGTATTGGCAAAAAGGAGAGGAGGACTTGTGGCACCGTAGAGACTCACCAATTTATTTGTGCATAAGCTTTCGGAATCCGATGAAGTGAGCTGTAGCTCACGAAAGCTTACGCTCAAATAAATTGGTGAGTCTCTAAGGTGCCGCAAGGACTCCTTTTCTCTCTACACTTTGGGGGCCAAACTAGTAATGGAAGTGTTCAAGCAATAGGAAGTGGAACTATAAAAATGTCAGTTAAACATGGGGGGGATGGGATATTTCCTAACTTGGGCATCTGCCCCAACATTTAAATTTTATTAAAAGCTTTGCAAACCAAAGCGTAACAGGAGTGTTTCTATGTTGCTGTCTGTAACTATAGTTTAAAAAACCACCACCATTCCCCACCAATGTTTGAAATCCAAATAGCATACCATTAGGAACCTACACATAAAGGTAATTTGTTTATTTTCCTTTTTGCGTTTTCTCAGTTTGGACCATGAAACACCATAAATTGGGACAAACTTGAGTTTTTACATTACTTTCGCTTCTAATAATCTGAATGGATATTAGTAACATAGGTATTTAAAAGTGTGCTTAAAATATATATATTTTTTAAAAAAAATTCAGTGTTTCTTCAGAATCCGTCCAACATAATGCTTTAGACAGCAGCAATTCTGACCATTATTAGATTTTTTGTTGCTCTGTTTTACCTCTGTTAGGAGGTGTATATTGTAACTTACAGATAAGATGTGTATTTCTGACTCTTACTGTCGCCCCCAAAGACAGATATAGGTTGTAGAGACAGATTTAGAAAATGCACCCAAGCTAGACTACTGTAGTTTTGATATGAATTCTTTCTTGTTAACTCAGTTAAAACCTAATTTTGTCAGCAGTGTACATCACTTGCAATGTAAGGCTCTGTTTCTGCCAACACTTATCCACATGCTTAAATTGACTACTTTTGCATAGTCTCACAGAAACAATGGGGGAATTACTCAGAATAGTCAAGTTTAGGTATGCTATCACCCATGTCTAGTGGAGGTCATAATGGAGGGTGCCAGTATTAGGTCAGGCTGTCCAAATTTGGCAAACGCTCCGAAATTGGTGATATCCTATAGTTAGATTTAGCCAAAGCAGCAAGGTATATGTGCTCCTGGGTCACTTTATTAGCTCGCCATAAAACCACTGACAGTCTAGCTCAGGGATGGGCAAACTTTTTGGCCTGAGGGCCACATCTGAGTATAGAAATTGTATGGTGGGCCATGAATGCTCACAACATTTCTGGTTGGGGTGCGGGCTCTGGCTGGGGGTGTGGGCTCTGGGGTGGAGCTAGAAATGAGGGGTATAGGAAGGGCTGGGGGTAGAGCAGAAGGGTTTGGAGTATGGGAGGGGCTCCGGGCTGAGACAGGAGGTGTGGGGGAGGGGGCTCTGAGCTGGGGCTGAGGGGTTTGGAGTGTGGGAGGGGGCTCTGGATGGGGGGGTGCTTGAGGGCTCAGGGTGGGGCTGAGGGATTTGGGGTGCAGGAAGGTATTCAGGGCTGGGAGAGCAGGAGGGGGATCTGAGTTGGGGCATGAGAGAAGGTCGGGGTGCAGGCTCTGGGTGGCACTTACATCAAGTAGCTCCCGGAAGCAGCAGCATGTCCCTGCTCCGGCTACTACGCAGAGGCGCGGCTCGGCAGCTCCGTACACTGCGCTGTCCATAGGTGCTGCCCATGCAGCTCCTGGCCAATAGGAGCTGCAGAGCCTGTGCTTGAGGTTTGGGTAGCATGTGGAGACCCCTGGTTGCCCCTACATGTAGGAGCCGGAGAGAGGACTTGCCGCTCTTTCCAGGAGCTGCACGGAGCCATGGCACGTGCGGAGTGGGGCAAGCATCCGATCCTGCTCCCTGGCTAGAGCTCGAGGGACGGATTAAAAGGTCTGATGAGCCGGATGCGGCCTGCGGGCCGTAGTTTGCCCACCCCTGCTTTAGCTAGTCGTCTTAGTGCTGCCACATTTACCACCGAGACAAACTGGACTATTGTGTTGACAGGTTATTAAAACCAAAATTCACCACATGCTGAGTTCTTACAGCCCCCAAACCAGTCACTTACCACCAGGTGAAGGTCCACTTCAGATCTCACCAAATACAATGCTGCAGCTAATCCTTTAGTAAACTAACTAAAGATTTATTAACTAAGAAAAGAAATGAGTTATGCAGAGGTTTAAAGCAGGTAAGTTACATTGCAGGTGAATTAAAGCGTGTAAATCCAAAATGCTAGCAGGGATGTTATATTGGATGGTTTTTTATAAGTCTCTCTGATTTTCCCAAGTAGTAGTGGGAACCTCAGTCCTTTGTTCAAAATTTTCCTTGTCAAAATTCAATAGTCCAGAGATGTGGTAGGACAGAAGAAAGAGGTAAAAGGTGCTTTTTGTTCTTGCCTTTTATATCTTGACCTCTCAGCCAGGATTTTTCCAGAAATTTCCTAGGTGTAGACTCAGCAGTTCTTCATATGAATTGCAAATTTTGCTTGCACATTTTGGATGCTATTGTTAGGGTGTCTTCACAGCTCCTTTTGTTACTCCTGAAGGGTTAACCTGTGGATGCTTCGGAGACTCACAACAAGTTCAAGTTACAAACACATAGCAAAATGTCATAACTCCATACACGATATTGATACACACATTATTACAAGACAACTATACACAGCCAATTATAACTTTTTCAGTGATACCATACAAGGTATATTTTGTGCAAGATTTATCACAGTTTTGCAAGTGGTGGTGACCATATTAGTGTAGTCGGTTGCTTTCCCCATTATACAGCATCACATACGCACATAAATATTTGCAGGATCTGGGCCTGTGTCCTAATCCTGCTATTTGTTCCAGAGGGGTGGATCTCTGCACCCATGGGGGACTCCATTAACTTTATTGTGGTTTCACATACACTCAGGGCTCTGATCCCATGAAGCAGTTTGAATGATCAAGGTCTGTGGGCCAAGTTCAGCAGGGCCATTTGTGTTGACTCACATAAAAGGCTTTTTTTGAGCCATAAACTAGATCTCAAAGGATAGATGACAGAGAGGGAGCAGGGAAAAAGATGGTTATTTTTAGTGCTGCATAAATACTGTTTTTAGTTTCTGTTTATTTATATACTTTAAACACTGTTAGGTTTATTTTTATACCTGGCACGTTTTAACTATGGTTAATTGTGTCTGAAATGGCTCTTAAGAAATGCTTTTAATATAACATTTTCCTGTTGTATATTTAAAAAAAATCTTTAAATATGCCATGATCCTGCATAGGTACACAGACTCCATGTGGGCTTGGATATACCTGTGTGAAAGAGTTGGTATGTATGTGTGGCTTTAGTGCTATTCACGCCTTGGAGAGAAGGAGTGCTTTAATTACACAACAGTAAATGATTGTGTTTTTTTTACTTAGTGTCCACAATTATGGTGTATATCATATACTATAATTGTGGACACTGTTGCAACAACTCTCCACTCACAAAAATATTCCATCGCTTCCCATTCAGAAACATTAGCCAATTATGCAAAAAATGTTGACTTTTTATATCCCGAATAGAAGTGAGCTGTAGCTCACGAAAGCTCATGCTCAAATAAATTGGTTAGTCTCTAAGGTGCCACAAGTACTCCTTTTCTTTTTGCGAATACAGACTAACACGGCTGTTACTCTGAAAACTTTCTCTAGTTTCACCTAAGAATAACAACACATAATACAATTTACTTTTACCTGCCATACTTGGTGTAGTTTCATGTGTGTTTTGTTTTTATAATTTTAAATGAAATATTAGACAGTAATTATTTTCACTTACCAGGTGTTTGTGTTGATTACAGCATGGTATATCTTAAAGTCAGGAGGCTCTGAGCTGGATGCAGTAGAGAGAGGTTGCGGTCAGTGTGAGACTGATCAGTGTGATGGAAGTGTGGGGTTTGGAGGAAGTCCAGATGAACATGGAGAAACAACATTAGATGCCATGATTATGGATGGGTAAGAAAGTTACTTGGAGAAGGGAATAATACTAAGGATTTTTAGTACAGTTCAGTATGATGTAAACATTGTTATATGTACCATGCCATCATGTTGATGTGTTCTATAGACATTACACTGCACTCAAACTCTGATATTAACTGATGTGTTCAGGGGTACAGTAGAAAGAAGGAAATATCCAATCAAACAGGGAATAAATCGCCATGGCACCAGGATGTTTGGAAGCTAGCTAAGCATTTTTCTTGCAATCCCTGACATTCATTTCAAATAGCCTGATTGCCAGATAGGGGAGCTAAGGGATGCATATGGAGTTCCTGGATATTGAAGAGTAGAGATTCTCCTTGAAAATTAAACATAATGTACAGTACCTATATGACTGTTTGTCTAAAGAGGCAGAGAAAAGCTTACTTTTGCAGGATTGGGATATCTGGAGGTTTAAGCATAAGCTTAATAGAGAACCATTTGCTCTTTAATTTCCATACAAATTTTACTTTCTTGGCAATTCTGTGTTACGTCTTTTAGACCTTATTCATTGTTTAGGTCTGACCTACACTTTGAAAGTCTTACTAGAGCAACTGGTTTGCTTAGTGGTGCAATTATTTATACCTGAAATACTTAACTAGTAAAACTTAAATATGTATGCATTTATATCAGTACAAAGATGATTTCCACCAGTACAGTATAACGCACCTTTATCTTGATATAACTGCGTTCAGGGATAGATAAAATGGCACAGCTCCTTAGTGTAGACTAGCACAAAGTATCTATAGGAAAAGATATGTCATTGTTTTATTATCCTCTGTTACTGTTTAATATATGCATGCCTTAAATATTTCTCACTTCCATTTTCTTGTTTCAGCAACACCATGGAAGTTGGGGCAGTAGCAGATCTCAGACGTATAAAAAATGCTATTGGTGTAGCACGGAAAGTGATTCAGCACACTAAACACACATTATTAGTGGGGGAGTCGGGTAATTATGTGCTTTATTCAGTTATTTCCAATTCTTATCCTTGTCTTAATTATCACTGTACAATAAGGAGACTTACAATAGATAAATCTTGATAGTGGAGGAATCCCCCACATATATATTCAAATGAATGCTGTTAAGTAGTTGAAAAGCATTTATCCTTCTTTAAGTTTATTAAATATCTACAAATTACCAGGGTTTTTTATTCTGCTATTTCTGCTTGAACTAAAACAAAGGGTTTTATGTTCCCTCTACAGACTCAGCCGCAACTATTAACTTTGAATGCCAGAGCTGTTTGCATATCACTGAAAATGCACATACTAAGTAAAGATGTTTTGACATAAGACACTATATAAATGGAAGCTGGCATATGCCAATATTTCATCTTAAAATACAAGGGAAGCTTTGCTAAAAAAAATGAATGGCAGAATTGGTACTTAATTTTATTTCAAAGTTCATTTTCCTATTTATTGAGCACAGTCATTGTACTTTGCAGTTTAAAAACATACATGAAGACTTTCTGCCTCAGAGCTTGTAAATAAATCAGGTACTGTACAGCTTGGCACAACACACCACGTATTGATAAATTCTATAAACAGTGGAGGTTTCATCTTTTTAAGGTAACTTAATACTTTATTGGTGGATTAATATCTTGTGACTTTATGGAAGAAATGTTACTATGAAGACTTTGGTTGACTTAAGGGCTTTTTAAGTGTAGGGGGCTGCATGGAGGAAGTCATGAAGGCAAAGATTAAATTTAAAAAGAGGTGATGTGGTCAGTGACAAGAAAGGAAGATGAATTTGGCAGTAGCATTTTGGATGGAATGAAGAAAATGAGACAAGACAGAGGAGACAGTTGCTGTAGTTGATGCGAGGACTCCTTTAGGTCTGGAAAGGGAGGGCTGGAGTTTGAGATGCTTTACAGACCTTTTTGATTTGACCAGGAGGCAGTCTCTAGTGACTGTGGTAAGAGGAGTATCAGTAGCATACAAGGGATTCAGGAGGGAATGAGTAGAGTGGGAAATAAAGAAAGTCACAGTAGACTTTGTGCTTCAAGGTGAAAGGGGTTTGGGATGGGGTAAACTAAAAGATGTGTGGGAATAGCAGAGCAACCTGGAATACCAGGAATGAAGTCTGAGAATGACTAAGAATAATGGAGGTAGGTTTGAACAGAGAGTCAGAGGGGTGACAAGCTTCAGCACCGTGTGTCAGAAGGGTAAAGAAGGTGGAAGGGGGGGAAAAACAAATTCTTTGTGAAGGAAGTTGAGTCATACAATTTTCTCTGGAAGTGCTCAGCGGGATGAGAGCAGGGATGTTGGAAGCCAATATGAGGCATGACACTGGGAAGTGTAAGGCAAACGCTGACTGGAGAGGACAGCAGACTCACTAGTGTGTGGAGTTGAACTTTAATATCAGTGGAGGAGAGGAAGGCACATTTCTGTTCCACACAAAGTATTAGAAACAATTTAAAAAAAATTGTCCTTAAAATGTACTTAGAACAAACTAGAATGACTTCTTGTAAGAGTTTTTCTACAAGATTGTTTCTGCTTTTATCAAGCTACATCGTCCGATACCCGTATTCTACATATTTCAGCTCTTGTTTGGAGAGTAAAAGAAAAAATATTTGAAACTAGGATAGTCTCCTTAATTTTTCTGTCCACACAGAAGTTTCTTTGAGTGATTGACAGAAAAAAGAACACAACTGTGCCCTTAACTGTTCAGCATAATATAGAATATACTGTAATTGATAGTATTGTAATGTGTGGAAAGTACAGTATATTATTCCTGGTACTAAAATGTTAATGGGAATTCGTTCTGTTTGGTTTTCAGTATTGAAAATAATTGAGTCTTATATTTCTAACTTCCTAAACAGTACTCTGAGTCCTTTTCAGTTTAAGTGATTCCAAATTATATCAGATAGGGAGTATGATAGATGCTTTTTTTTTTAATGAAACCATACTACCTTAGTGCACATTACCCAACAGCTCCACTACAGAAGTCGTAAAAGGAGGATCAATAAACATGAACAAGCAGACTTTTCTTAGCTCATGTGGTCGCTTGCTTGCTTGTTCTAGATACTGAAATGTCAGTAAATATCAGTAACTTTTGCTCATGAAACTCCCAATACATACGTAGCTTTAGAAAAGCAATACAAAATTAACTTCTAAATCAATTGAAAGTTTTTTTTGTAATATTTGGATAAGCGGAAACTCCTAAGAATCTTGTAAAACTATGTATTATGTTCACATAAATGTCAAAGGACTCAAACATGGAAGGGATTGGTAATTTACAAGTCTGTAAACAATTCTGTCTGAATTTGATTTCTTCCAGATTGATAATTCCAAAGATTACTGTAACTAAAAGATGAATTAATAGCATTTTTCTATTTTTTTTCTGTTCATTTACTTTGCATTTGGCTGTGCTTTGTGGCAATTGCTTTCATTCTTTCTCCTGTATAGACAGTCAGTTTACCCTACTATTGATTTGTTTTTCATACTGTGACAATTATAAAAAAAAAAATTAAGAAATACATAATCAAATTTAAATTTTAGGAAAGTGTGATAGTAAAGCCACAGAAATTGTCAGAGGTACTCAGGGGCAGGTATTGATATCTGAGTCTTTCTCTGCTTACCTCATACTTTAAAAATGTCTAGATATCAAATTGATAGTGTTTTTGTAATTAATTTGCTACTTACAAATTTTTGATTGTTTAAAATTTCCCTGTTACACATAGCACAGTCTTGATTTTGGATGGTATTTGTCCTTTTTGAAAAGTTTTGCTCCTTTTGTAAAGCAACATGTCTGAAGAGAAAGCTCTCTCGTCATAGTCAGAGAGAACATATTTAAATGAAGAAACAAAAAGACACAGTAGATAGCATCTCTCCTCCTAGAAGTGTGGGATATAGTGCCCTCAGTAAAGGAGGAATTGGATGCGATGGTATATCGGAGATTACACTGACATGCTGTTTGTCTGAAGAAGTATATTCTATAGTTTCAGGGGGATGAGCTATATATAAACTAATATTTCATCTTGATCATAACATATAGTGTATGATAAACCTAATGTACTCATGCTACAATATTGCTGAATTTTTCTTTTTGCCTGTTAAAGCCTCACTGTTTGCAGAAAGCATGGGATTTCCTTGTGAAGATTTAACCACTCAGAATTCTCTTTCAATATATTTAAAGTGGCTTAATCAAAGCTGTCAGCCAAACTACTGGAAGGTACAGTATAATTGTTTTATTTTAGAAATTTGACCAACATTGCTTGTTACTCTTGACTTATTAAAGAAATACTTCATATTAAAGGAACAAAGAATGTTCCATTAAATATTTTTTAAAAATCCTGGAATTCTTGTTAATTTGATATACTTGGGGATTGGAAAGCCTGTTTGCTGCCTGATTTGTAGAATTCTGTTAATATTGATGTTAGTACAGTGGTTTTTCATTGAATTTGGAAGAAAATGCTAACCCTCAAAAACAGAGGATGATTTCTCAGTGAGGCATGAGTGCAGAAACTTAAAATTGAGTTTCTAAATGAAATCCCTTAGTGGGAATTAAGGCCTTCATCTTGCAGGTATTTAAACATGAGTGACTTTTACACATGGAAGTAGTCCCATTACAATCATAGGGACTACTCATAGGCTTAAGTCTTTCCAAAATTGAAGCCTAAATTGGTAGTTATAGATCAGGGGTCTCAAACTCAAATTACTTTAGGGCCAGTACCAGTCCTCAAATCCTCCCAGCGGGCCAATAATGTCACTCATGCTGCCCAGAACCTGCCCCCCAAAACTCTGACCCCACCTGCCTAAGGCTCTGGGAGGGAGTTTGGGTTGGGGAGGAAGTATGGGGTAGGGGATTAGGTTGCAGGCTCTGGGAGGTAGTTTGGGTGGGAGAGGAGGTCTGGGGTGCAGGCTCTGGGAGGGAGTTTAGGGTCAGGAGGGTGGGTGTGGGAAGGGGGGGTGCAGGCTCTGGCAGGGAGTTTGGAGGCAGGAGGGGGTATGTGGGGAGGGGGTGGCTCGGAGAGGGGGGTCTGCCGCTTACCTGGGGCTCCAAGGGGGGGTGGGCCGGGGGGCCTCCATGCACTTCTGCCCCAGGCACCACCCCCGCAGCTTCCCATTGGCCACAGGAGCGCTCAAGGCAGGGACAGTGCATAGGCGCAGCACCCCCCACCCCGCAGCCACAGGGAGGGGCCAGCAGACATGTGGAGCGAGCAGGCAGCTGCTACTCAGTTCTGCTGCACTGCTGGGGCCCTGGGCCATTGTAAATCGCCTGGCGGGGAGTGCCTGGGGGCGGCAGGTGGGTTCAAGGGGGGACCTGGCCCCAAAACTGCTGGAGCCCCACAGGCCACATTGGGGAGGTTTGCGGGCTGCAGATGGCCTGCGGGCCATGAGTTTGAGATCCCTGCTGTAGATATGACAATCATAAGTTAGCATGTTTGTCCCTGTGCACAGACTGTTACATGCTTGCAGAGCCCACTCCTCTGTAGATTGTTGTCTGTTTTTGTATCTGAAATACAGTGGAATTGAGACAGTTTAATTTGGTACATACTCTCTTGCCTATTCATTTACTTGAAAAGGTGTCCTGCCTAAAGTATTACTTGTAACCAAGTTTAGTCATCTTAAGTACAAGAGGATTACTTTATCTTAGTGTGGTACTAACAGCAACTTTGTTTCTGTGGTTTCTTTATCTTGCTGAAGAATGCAAACTTGTTTTGACCAAAGAATGAGTCTTGTGATTGTTCTGCTGCTTTTCTCTAATAGGCACTATCAGATTAACAGATCCTGTACCACACATTATGAAAAGTCAGTCAATTCATCTCTTAATAAGAATATCCATCTCTTTTGTAACTTCAGTACAACTGTGCATTAGATATCTTAAAATATTGTACAATGGATTTAGATTTTTGTTGCAGTAGTTTGTTTAAAATGCATCTTTACTGAAATATTAAAGACTCATATGAATAAAATATTGATTACAGAATGTAATACCAGATGCCTCAAAATCCTGTGGACCATACAAACAGGCTAAACAATTAAATAGTGAAGAATGGATCAACTCACAGAAAAGAATAAATATTCATAATCATGATACAATTGGTAACACTCTTTGGTTCTTTTATGCTAAAAGATGTATTCACTTTTTTGCTTCATGATCAACTCAGTCTTACTGAGTTCAAATAAATTATTTCAGACTGGTAGTATACCAGATATACAGCACCATTTTCAAGTGTGTGTACTATTTATGCACGTGTTATAAAGGAGTTGGTTGCAACTCTTTAGTCAATTTAGGGTTTGTAAATCTAGAATCTATTTTAATGTTTCCTCTTCTTTTTAACTTTTTGATTTGAGCAACAGCATTGTTTGCAAATTTGTATGTTTAAAATAGGTTAGGAGTAATAGTCTTGTAAAGCATTTTTGGTTGTTGCATCGTAGGCAATTTTGTATGTTTATAACATTTTCTTGTATTTCATGATTGATTTTTCACATTGTCGGCATAGCAGACGTTCCAGAACTGCAGACTTTGGAGAGACCTTTCCAGACAACTCAGTACAGATTATTTATCTATATTTTGTCAGTTACATTTTATCTTCTGCATTTTGGACTGGATCTTTGTCATGCAAAAAATCTTCAAAATTTTCATTACCAAAGAATTACCACTTAAAATTTTAAGTGCTGACACACACACACACATTCATCAAAGTACTTAAGAACGTGCCTAATTGACTTCAGTGGGACTACTTACTGCTTTAAGAATCTTTCTGAATTGAGGTCTGAATTCTATAATTGCTGGAAGTAGGGGGGTGCTAAGATTGGTGGGTCATGTGTTGAATATGTCACCTCTTCATTTGTACTTGGTTAAGGTAGTTAAGCTTTATTAATGTATTTTCAAGTGTGTGTTTATACTAGTGGCTTTTTTGGACTCTTTAAAATTTGGATAAAAAAATTCACTGGAGAATTTAAATTATACTTATTATTGTTTTACCAAGAATGATTATATATGGCCCAATTTTCAAATGTTTTAAAATACCAATATTTAGGTCCCTCTGAAAATCACAGCTCAGGTGTAAAACTTCATTTTAAAAATAGAGCCCTTACAAGGGCTATAAATATATGATCAGTTTTTATGCTGCTGAATTGTAACCGATGTTTTAACAAATATATGAGAAATTATTCTTGTTAAGCTTCACCATTGTTTAAATTTATAGGCATGATTGTAATTGGTGGTTCCGGAAATGTTGCAGTTGGGACATCTACAAATGGTGCAGTCCACAAAATCCAGGGGTTAGTACTTGTAGTTTGAGAAAAATACATATGGTATTTGTAATCCTTGATTTCATGTAATTATCTGTGTAGGTGAGGTGATATTTTGCTTATCTAAATGATCGTGTTTATACAGGGACTAGCACAACAGGGCCCCATTTTCTGGTGGGTCTTTAAGGTGCTGCTGCAATTACAATTTTTAGTGGGCTTGTTTTTTCAACTTTGTGTATAAATATAGTAGAAGTTACTTTAGGCCTGCTTTTTTATTTTTTTTTCGTTTTTAAATGGGAGCAAGAATAGGTTCTTTATGAGCATTGTCTAAAGAATGTGTAGATCTAGGGTTACCCCTTGCATATTTGATGTTGAATTGAGTTTGTTGCTTTATGCTTGTAATAGCCTGGTGGCCCCTTTAAAAGCTTTTTTTTAAAAAAAAAAAAAATGACATATGACCCATGTTTTCACTCTTGAAAGTTAAAGAAACTTTAAAAAAACTCATGTCAATGATAAATTTGATTTGGAGTGACTCAATAAATATCTCCAGAACTTTAGGAGTCTCAACAGGATCAAGGAATGAGGGCTTGTTTACACATGGACCTATTCAGGACCTATTCCTGAATAACTCTGTATGAACTCTCTTATTCAAGAATGAGCGCCTTTTTCCAGATTTGCTAAATCCACTGTCAAAGTGGACTAAACTGAAACAGAAACCTTCTGTATCTTGAAGGAAGAATACTCTGGAAAGCTGAAACTGTGGAACAGTCACTATTTCACCGAGTGATTTTGCTTTTTTCTTGGCAGTGTATTTAAGTGCCCAAGTGTCAGTCCTTATTACTGAGAGTAGAGAGCTCTCATTAACGTGGTGTAAGATTAGGAGTTCCTGGAATATGAAACTGTAAAATCCTGGTGTATTCTCATTGCTGCTATTTATGTTATGTTGTGTTGTGTTTTGTTTAAACAAGAACCCAGTCTAAGAATTTGCCTTTTAAATATTGGGTCTAGTTCTGCTCTGGTACACTGATACAACCCCACTGGCTTCAGCCAGGTTGCACAATAGTGTAACTGGGACCAGTATTTGGCCCATTATAACTGTCTTCATTTTAACTTGATGTTTCTTTTCCTTCCTCTATATAGTCGTGTAGGGGACTCTCCAATAGCTGGAGCTGGAGCCTATGCTGATAGTACAATTGGAGGAGCGGCAGCCACTGGAGATGGTGATATCATGATGCGCTTTTTGCCCAGGTTTGTCCCTTTGGGGAAGATTGCTTACATTTTTGCCAGAGAATTCCTGTGAAACAAATCAACAAATAAAGTGATGAATTAATAAAATCGTTGGTTTTGTTGGCTGCTTAACATATTTGGCCATTGCTTCCTTTTTTATTCATACCAATCAACATGGCCAAAAATACCAGACTAGCCCCACATCCTCTCTTACAGACAACAAATCACTTACCAATTCTTTAACATGTTTTCTGCTACCTCATTGAAAATCCTGCAAACGTTGCCAAACCTGGGCTTTGACAGAAGAAATGAGTGGATTTCAGATCTAAATGTACTCCACCAAAAATGCTTTGTGTCCTACACTCAAGTTTCAGTTGTGGGAACAAACACTTCTTAAGTGTTAGGAAGAAGAGAAAGTGGTCTCAGAGGTGGCTATTTTCTTCACCAGTGGAATTGTATATAGTCAGCATCTTACTTTGTGCCTGCTCCTTTTCATTTCCAAAAAATGGTGTAGTCTGTTTAAAATCTGGGTGCCTGAATTTTGCAAATGGTCTTCATGGGTAGCCTCAAATAGAATATATTGCAGTACTCCATTCTGGAGGTTACAGAGACATTGATATTTACAATAGATTTCAGCTCACAAGATAATAGTTAAGATGCTAAGTCCTCTTTTAAGCAGCTTGAAGAACTGTTTGCAAAAGCTTGGAATACCAGTGCTTTATGCATTCCGGTTTTGGGAAATGACTGGACTAGAAGACACTGTCTATGTCCTTTCTGTTTGTCAGTGTGCTTGTCTTGTGCAGAATAGGGTGTGTAATCTAAAGCAGAATAGCTCTGAATTGTCAAACGTCCAGAAAACAGTAATTATTTTGCCCCTTGATTTTTTCACTTCTGAAATGTTGATGTATGATATAAGTTAATATCTCAAAATAATTGACTTATGAGGAAACAAACTATGGACGATAGCTCTACATTCAAATTTTTATCCGGCTCAGGTGAATAGATAGGGGTTTTTTTTGGTAACTTGTATTTCTGTGACAGAAGATATTGAGTCCAGAGATAAGGAACTTCCCAAAATGTGATGATAGTCCTCCTCCAAAGTGCCAGATTTGAAGCTCATTCCCTCCTTACTTGAGTTTCTCTTATTGTAACAAGACATAGTGGCTTGATACACAGTATTTATGTTTTCTGAAATCAGAACAGACTACTCCTTTTAGGCCCATGTTGTGCTGTTACTCAAAATTGTTGACTTTTGAGATTGTGCATTGTGGAAATGTAGAACTGGTTAGCAGTATCGTTAGTCTAATGATATTATGTGGTGTTACTATAGATATGAAGGTATTTAGTTCGGTTTTGCATTTAAAATAAAACACCTTTTAAAAAAAGAAAACCTTTTGAAGCTTCATGGCAAATCTGAGACAACTTTTATAAAAAAAACAAAACAAAAAAACCCCAAAACACTTCATTAATGAGGAAAAACAGCAATTCAGCAGTTCTTGCAAACTCCAAGCAGGAAAGGAGTTGATCAGTAGCTTAGTCTCCAGTTTTGTATTTGTGTTCATATGAACAAAGCAAAATAATTTACTTTGTTCATATGAAGTGGACATGAATTGCCATATTTTTGTATCACTAACTGAATACCGTAATATCTTCAACATGGAGATTTGGCCAGTAGTTTTTTTTTCCCCTGTACTCCAGTAATTGATGGAGTTCTGAGCTATCATATTTTAGAATGTCTATTTTGATTATATTCAGTCATAATGAGTGTAACTTCTGATTTGTTTCCTAAATCAGCTATCAAGCAGTGGAGTATATGAGGACAGGAACAGATCCAGCTATAGCTTGCCAGAAAGTTATTTCCAGGATCCAGAAGTATGCTCCATACTTCTTTGGTGCTGTTATCTGTGCCAACACAACTGGAAGTTTTGGTATATATTACTGTTATATTTTGTTCAACACAGAGAACTTTGACACAGACGAGTGAAACATAGAGATGTATTTTAAAGCAGCAGGCTGCAACTTTAACCAATATTGGGGAGTAGGGGGAGCAAGGGGATTTTCCACTCTTACTATCAAATACCAGATATTTTATTAGGTCTGGAAGTACATAATTAAATGGTATCCTGCCAAACACCCCATAAATCCAGGTTGGCCCTCTTCAGCCTAATACCTTAAGATTTGTACAGAACTTTCCTGGAGGAGTTAGTAAATACTCGAAACTATTTATAACCTCAATTTCTCATATTTTTATAGGTATGATTAATTTGAAGGTTTATAAAAAAAATTAAAAATCCCAAACATCTTTAGGATATGGCATAAGGCAGTCTGAATGTGACTGTAACACAGCTTCAAAGCAATCCAAGATCAGTCATTATGCTGGGCATCTCATTAGTAAACTCTTAGATCAGTAGAAAGTAAAATTTGCTGATCAATATGGCTTATTGGGTAGACTGCTTGTTGTAGATCTTTGATCTCTCTTCCCACAGTTCTGTATTTGAGCGATTATAGTTGTAGGAACGCATTACACTCATCACTATTTTTTTTCTAATTTACATTACTAAGTTTATTAAGTGCACTACACTGGTAATGAGCATGCTGTTTCCACATGAAAAGTAAAATGCTTTTGAGAAATCTCAATGTTGGGTTAAACAGATTGTAAAAGGAAATTACACCATTGTACCAGAATTAGTAATTGGATCTTTAGAAGATGAAATATGACAGACATACTAATCCTATAGGGAATAGGCAGGTCACTTTTGTTTCTTTTTTTTTCCTTTCCCAGGTGCTGCCTGCAATAAAGTTCCAGGATTCACTCAGTTTCACTTCATGGTTTATAGTCCTTTGCTAAATCAGCCATCTGAGCAAGTAGTAGACTGCATTTAATTTTTTGTGTACCAACTGCATTTACACTTAAAGACCAAGGAGGAAAAGAAGGCTGAAAAGGCTCACTGACTGCCATTTTACAAAGTGTTTGCAGTTTCCTTTTGCACAGATATTTGAGGAAGAGTAATGTATGTGGAGATAGCACATATCACTCTCACTTTTTTTAATGTATTTTGTTTTATTACCATGTCACCAGTATGTCAGTAAACTTCATCTGTAGTTTCTCAATCTAGCAAACGAATCTGTTAATCTGGCGGGTTATTTCTAGATTCTGGTGGGTAAGTTGGCTTCATCTACAGGATGAACAAATTTGACTTTTTTTTTTAGATTCCAGGATACTGTATAGAGATCCAAAATATCTACTGATGATAAAGTGGTATTTCAAAATACTCAGCTGGTGTATGTGGATGACTATAGTTTAAAATGGGAAATGCCTTTTGGAACCAGTCTCAAATACAGATGAAAGTTTGCACGACTGTTGTACCAAGAAGAACTGGAGAACAATTTCATGTCTGAATGGAGAGCAGCAAAGTAAGCTTCTGCTTTTGTGGTGATGCTTCATCGTTCCATGATGTTCAGTCACAGTGATGCAGTATTACATTGCAAATGTTATCCTGCAGTGTCAGGAAGTTACTCTATTTTGTGGCTTTCTGTGACTCAGGTACACTCCCTCCTTTCTTCCTTTATTTCTGGGAACAAATGAAGATGTTTCTTATTACCTTCCAATCCCAAAGTGTTGGGTAGGATCCCAGCAACTGACTCATTTTCAGAAGATGGCTTCCATACTGTGCTCTCCTTTTCACTTCCCATGTTGTGTTCTGTCAGCGTGAGCAGTGCTGCTGTGATCAGCATTCCATTGCTGCCTAAGCTCAGGTAAAGCACCCATCAGATGTACAGATTCCGAGCCCACAGGTCAGTTCTAGAAGAACTGTGGGTGGAATAAGACTGATTTTTCTGTATTAAGTGTTTCACTGGCCATAATTCATTTTTGTAAATCTCTTAATTTTAACAGTCCTTTTTGGCAACTGAACCCCAGATTAATAAATTAGAGGTGATAAGTAACAGTCAGCATGGATTTGTCAAGAACAAATCGTGTCAAAGCAACCTGATAGTTTTCTTTGACAGGGTAACAAGCCTTGTGTATAGGGGGGAAGTGGTAGATATGGTATAGCTTGACTTTACTAAGGCTTTTGATCCTGTCTCGTAAGCAAACTAGGGAAATGCAACCTAGATGGAGCTACTATAAGGTGAGTGCATAACTGGTTGGAAAATCGTTCCCAGAGAGTAGTTATCAGTAGTTCAGTCATGCTGAAGGGCATAACGAATGGGGTCATGCAGGGATCGGTTCTGGGTCCGGTTCTGTTCAATATCTTCATCAATTATTTAGGTAATGGCACAGAGAGTAAACTTATAAAGTTTGCAGACAATACCAAGGTGGGAGGGGTTGTAAGTGCTTTGGAGGATAGGATTAAAATTTAAAATGATCTGGACAGACTGGAAAAATGGTCTGAAGTAAATAGATGAAATTCAATAAGGACAAATGTAAAGTACTCCACTTAGAAAGGAGTTGTTACAAGGAGGAGGGAGAAAAATTGATCTTAACCTCTGAGGAGAGGACAAGAAGCAATAGGCTTAAATTGCAGCAAGGGTGGTTTAGGCTGGACATTAGGGAAAAACTTCCTAACTGTCAGGGTAGTTAAGCACTGAACTAAATTGCCAAGGGAAGTTGTGGAATCTCCATCATTGGGGATTTTTAAGAGCAGGTTGGACAAACACCTGTCAGGGACTTTCTAGATAATACTTAGTCCTGCTTTGAGTGCACGGGACTAGACTAGATAACCTCTCGAGGTCCCTTCCAGTTCTGTGATTCTATGAAATTCTGGGAACTGTCCTTCTGATGCCTAAGTGTGGAAATACAGTACTTTCTCCCATGTTTCCTCACTAGTCATTATATAAAAACTTACACTGATAGATCTCTTGTCTGTGGTCTTTGGATATAGACATTACTGCTTGAGAGGTATAGATTTGTTTTCTTTCTTTAAATTACTAATCAGTAATCTGTCGCAAGTCAGGATGCACTACAATAACGCAACTTATAAAAATACTTCTCTTTTTACTGGCAAAATTTAGCTTGGGGTTTTTTGGCTGCTATTTATTTGTTTGGTAGTGTAATAAACTGTACTGTTTTCTGTAAACTTTTCCTAGCCGCAAGCAAGCTGCCACTTCAAATATGTCACTCCTTTAGTAACTTGTTACTGTTCTTGTGCTGGCTTCAATTTTTTTTTTTTTTTTTTAAATTAGTTTCTTCTCCCTGGTTTCTCAGGTTGTGATAATACCTTTACCCATAGATGGCGCTCAACTACTCCCATTTGCGCAAGGTTTTAAATATTGATTCTTGTAGCATCAGTTTTCTCCATTTAATTAGAATTTTCCTATCCCCAGCCTGCCACTTGTATTGAAAATTGAATTATGAGGTTGTCAGTTCTCTTTGTAGGATGCTTAGTAAATGGAAATGCTTCCTTTGTCCTTGTTCTGCTCTGTGAGTGCCCTGTCCCCTGCCCCCCTCCACACACACACGCTTTGTAGGTTACACCTCTAAAGGAGCAATTGCATGTATACAATGGAATTTTATCTTTAGAGAACAAAATTGAGTACCTAGGACCCTGAGAGTGCTATTTCTCATTTCATCTCCTACTACATCTCATTTGCAGATACCAAGTTTTATTTATAATGTACTGCCATAGATTTTTGAAGATCTGTTTTAAAGAATCTTTGATCTTCCTTCTAACTTAGCAGGCTTGCTGATCAATTGATTAAATCAAGAGCTTGAGATTGATAAGGAAATTTAAAAGGGGGAAAAAAGTAAAATACTTATGGTATGATATGGTCATTTTAAATTAGCTCTGTCTACTTGAACAAAACCACTGGGTAATGCAAGCTTACTTTAATGTATCTTAATTTTTTGGTGTCCTTGAAAACTCTGCATTAAAATGGTCGTTGCCTTATGTTCTTAGTGTCTATGTTTTTAAAAGCTGGAAAAGCTTCCAGACAAGACTGGCTGTTGTTTTTAATGACCTGCTATTAACTGTTCTGTTGATGAAGTTCAATTTGGAGGATTCATTTCCTTCACTAGCTGTTGAATGTGGATTAAAAAGGTGCTTTAAGAACACTTGTGGAAGGTTTTCATGGGTTTGAATTAACTATTCAGAATGCTTTTCCTCTGTAAAAGTGTCAATTCTCTGTACATCTTGTTAATTTTTATGCAAACAAGTAGTCAAAGGGCTAGATAAACAATAGGACTTAAGCAAGTAAGGCCAATATTTAAGCACAACTTAGATCCTGAAAATTCTTGCTCAGCTGCTGCTTAACTCTGAAAGCACCTAAGTTGCCACTAGTGGGCATACATAAAACCCTCAGGTCTGATGACCCTGAGCTGCTTGGAGTTCTAGCTCAAGTCTAAGTCTCAGTGGAATTCTCAGACAAGGTGTTCCCCCATCTGTCTTGTGTGATCCAGTGGGCATGCTCAGAACTTTCCTAACCTGCACAAAAGGCAGCTAAATTTGGGTGGAGAATGTCCAGAATATGTGACAGCTCAGCTGTGATGTGAGAAACTTGTCCTCAGATCCCCACTCTGGTTGATTTGGAGCAGGGACTTCAACTTAGGTCTCCTATATCCCATGTGAATGACCTACACACTAGAGTTTGGGATATTCTCCTGTTAGAACTGTTCCATGTTCTATCAATTAAATAGTCCTTGGGCTGCTGAGGGGAGAGTGAATGTATAGCTCCCAAGAAGCAGGACTGAGCTATTGAGGTTTGAGCTCGACATAGTAGAGAACAAAGGGGTGTGTGTGTGTATATATATATATAAAAAGGATATAAAATTGGGTTGGGGGAAAAGGGGAGCAATGCAATGGGAACTCTTCCAATTTCTTCCCTTTTGAGGAGGCTTGAATATGCCAGGGAGCATATTCTGCTGCGCACCTTGGGTCTGGCCCTCCTTGGCAGAATTTGGCTGCCTCTCAGTGAGACATGGATACCAGTTATGTGGGATTGTTTGCATTTTAAGGCCTGAATAATATTGCTTCCATTTAAATTAAACCTGTAACCTAAACATAATAAAATTTATACCATTTAGGAACAAGTTATTGTGAGTATACAAGAACTTAGCCCTCTGGGGGGCGGGGCGGGAAGGGTGTTAAGTGTTTGTAATCTTATCTGTGGAGCTCCTAATAATGCCTCCATAACAAGAATGAGCTATTTCAGAAACTGTCATGAGAGAGTGAGGGTATGACATTTGGTGATGAATTATCTGTTGGCAAAATAACTCCTGAGATAATTATAATCCAATCATAGTTTGATTAAAAGAAGAACATATATTCATAAAACCATTTCCCAAATGAACGGGGATCACTCTTCCATATGGAATTGAGGGTCATCAAATCAAGAACTGTTATAGCTCACTGTTAATGTGTTTTCCTGGGAAGAATGTTAAAATATTAAAACAAAGGATATTAATAGAGGTAAAAGACCAGAATTGAATTTATTTTATTACTGTTTCAAGACTAGAAAAAATTTGTCACAAAAACTTTTGTACTGGTCTGCCACAATGTTTCCAACCTTGGCAGTTCACCAGCTAGTGAACCTTAAAATGACATTCTGACTTTCTGTTTATCACTGTGGCTGCAACAGGGTTTTTGCATCCACTAATTGGAGAGCTTGCTAGACAACTTCATTCCACTCAAAGCTGGGAATCCACATATAGGTCACAGAAACCATTTGTTTCATTGCGTTACCAGTTCTTAAAATAACTGCTAAAAATTACAGAGCTATTTAAAGGGGAATGAAGGGGGACAGCGAGATGGAAATTGGCATGATGTGATGTCATAGTTCAATAACTTGTTACTCATCAGTTGTAAATAAACATGTTCTATTACAGTAATATTGAAAATGTTGTGTGCTATATGTATATGTACGCACCATGGAACTAATGAGAGATGTCTCGTAACCTTGATCACTGCTTAAAAGTTGTATCAGTATTGAATTTAATAGTTTAATTCACTTATTTAGCACACTGAAGGGTTTATGATCTAGAAAGACAAAACTTAAAAAATAGTATGCACAAAACAGGTAACGTACATTCAACACTGGGATCCTTCAGGCGTAGTAAGTGTATTGGGTCAATTGGGGCACCTGTTTGTGTCCTGCTTGCTGAATCCTTTGTAGTGTTTTCCCCAGGAATTGAAATTGGGGGGTGTTGGAATATTCAGGGGGGGTGAAGGCCGATGAGGGTTGAAACTGTGAGGGTGGGCTGTATGGCACCAGAGTAAAAACTGAAAAATGTTTCATGAGCATTTTATTAGTTTTAACTCGTGTTTTAAAATCACAAAAATTAAAGTTAGCTACTCAAGCCTACCATGAAGCACTATATCTACATACTCCTTGGTTTATTGTTGTAATTTTGCACGCCTTTTGTGTCGTCTTGTGTGTCCGGTACTTCCAGTCCTTCATGATGTGTTCATGGTCACCCCATCTCAAAAAAGATACAATGGAATTGGAAAAGGTTCAGACAAGGGCAACAATTATTAGGGATATGAAATGGATTCCCTATGAGGAGAGATTAAAAAGACGACTGGGACTTTTCAGCTTGGAAAAGAGATGACTAAGAGGGGATACGATAGAGGCTTATAACATCTTGACTGGTATGGAGAAAATAAGTGAAGGAGTAAATAACACTTCCTTATTCAACACAAGAACCAGGGGTCACCCAATGAAATTAATAGGCAGCAAGTTTAAAACAAAGTATTTCTTCACAGAATGCACAGTCACCTGTGGAACTTTTTGCCAGGGATGTTGTGAAGGCCAAAATTATAACAGGGTTCAAAAAAGAACTAGATAAGTTCATGGAGGTTAGGTCTATCAATGACTATTAGCCAGGATGGGCAAGGATATGACACCATGCTCTGAGTGTTCCTAGCCTCTGTTCGCCAGAAGCTGGGAGTGGACGACAGGGGATGGATCACTCGATAATTCCCTGTTCCGTTCATTCCCTCTGAAGCACCTGGAATAGTCACTATTGGAAGACAGGATACTGGGATAGATGGACCATTGGTCTGTCCCAGTATGGCCATTCTTACATAAAAAATAATTAAAACGTTTAGCGCACAAACTCCCCAAGATAATGACCTCTTGAGATAGCAATGATGTGAGATAATGACCTTGGCAAATAATGCATTTTAAAAACCTTGGCCTACTAGGAAATGTATATTTGTATAAGTTTCCCAGTCACAAATCTAGCATTCTGGAGCAAAGTCACTAAAACATAGTCCAATGCTCTGGCCGCTGTTGTTTGTTGTGCCACCGTTCACTCTGTTGCTCTGTCCCAATGGCTCTGAACTGTCTCCTGTTGCTGCCATATGCCACTGTGACTTCTGTGAGTTGGTCCCCGAGGTTCCACCCAGCTCTCAGTGATTTCAGCTAAGCTCTCAGAGGCGGAACCTCACTGCTAGCGCAGGCTGGGCCATCTCTTCCACAGAAACACTGTCCCATAGCAGGTCTAAGCGCTTAGACCTGCTATCAGTGATTTCAGTTGCAGTGGTCACTTAACAAAACAAAAGACTATCTATGGAGCCTAATCAGCTCTGTCTTTAAACAGGGGAGAGGGGCAGGTCAACTAGTATTTGTGATTCAGGCAGACCATCAAGCAAAACACCTGTCCCCACTCTCTCTTTCGATGCCCTCAATCAGCACAGGCTAAGTACAGTTCTACTGCCCTTTTACTCATACAATAAGAATAACTACATTTAATTACCCCCCTACATTCAAGTGATTTGTAACCCAACCCCAGCCAAAATCCTCACTTGGGCAACACTGCTCTATTTGCTCGATATCTGGGTAGATTAGGTGTGAATGTAAATACAATCTGGTCCTGAAGCCTTTCCCCCCCCAGCTTATCACTAGCTGGCAGGGAGAGCTCATTTAGATTTGTTTACAAATCATCATTTGAAATTATTAGGTTGGTAAATATCCTCAAAATGAATGCACTGACACTGTCATAAACAGCTGTATAAGGAAGCTAGTCTATGTTCATACTTTTCAAATCTATTATTTTTTCAGATGCATGTATTTTATCATACACTGTCATAAATATAAAGGGAAGGGTAAACACCTTTAAAATCCCTCCTGGCCAGAGGAAAAACCCTTTCACCTGTAAAAGATTAAGAAGCTAGGATAATCTCGCTGGCACCTGACCAAAATGGCCAATGAGGAGACAAGATGATACGTTCAAATCTGGAGGGGGGGGGGGGAGACAAAGGGTCTCGGTCTGTCTGGGTGATGCTTTTGCCGGAGACAGAACAGGAATGGAGTCTTAGAACTTAGTAAATAATCTAGCTAGATATGCGTTCGATTATGATTCCTTTAAATGGCTGAGGAAATAAGATGTGCTGAAAGGAATGGATATTCTGGTCTTTGTGTCTTTTTGTAACTTAAGGTTTTGCCTAGAGGGATTCTCTATGTTTTGAATCTGATTACCCTGTAAGGTATTTACCATCCTGATTTTACAGAGGTGATTCTTTTTACTTCTTTTCAGAAACTGAATGCTTTTTCATTGCCCTTGAGATCCAAGAGTTTGGATCTGTGTGTTCACCTATGCAAACTGGTGAGGATTTTTACCAAACCTTCCCCAGGAAGTGGGGTGCAAGGGTTGGGAGGATTTTGGGGGGGAGGGGAAAGACGTTTCCAAACAACTCTTTCCCAGTAACCAGTTAAACCTTTGGTGGTGGTAGCGAAAGTCCAAGGGCAAAAGGTAAAATAGTTTGTACCTTGGGGAAGTTTTAACCTAAGCTGGTAAAAGTAAGCTTAAGAGGTCTTCATGCAGGTCCCCACACTTCCACCATAGAGTTCAGAGTGGGGAAGGAAACTTGACACACTGTATATGCTTTTAAAGAGTATTAATGTTTCAGTTTCAATTCAGATTTCCAAACAATCTGTAAAGTGGCAACAC